AAGAAAAAATAAAAGACAGTAAGTCCTCCTCAGACATACATTCATATAAACTCCTACCCCTAACTGAATCGCGATTTGTTTAGCATCTCAACCAATTTGAATCGTCACATATTTAAATCGATTTTCAACCGGCTCGCGGTTAATCGTTACATCCCTACCATCAACAAATCAAAACAAACCCTTTTTGCTGTTTAATGCACATATTCAATGTAAATCCTGGTCTTACTGTGCACGATTCATAATTGTGTTCATAATTATTGTTTTATAATATTTTAATTAAAATAAATAATTTGCTCTGCCTCTAAAACGACTTTCCATTTTTGCTGATGTCATGAATTACCTCCTCCATTTCAACCATATTATGTTGACTGTTACGGATAAAACAAGATCTTTTCTTAAATTTTACTAGTTGAATATCCAGTTTTATCTTAAATAAGTCAGGGTATGGAAGTAAAAAGGATTGTGAATAACATTTTACATTGACCTTAAGCTGTAACTGAAAAGAATGAACTGATACTACAAAGTGAGGGAGATTTTGAAAACCTTTTAAAATTGAAAACCTACATTAATAACTTGTGTTACAGGTAAGCATGTTTATGAATGCTTAATTGAAACAGAATTTAATTTGCATTTTCCATATAATTTTTCAACGGGTATTCTTATGTTAAAAATGATAATAATAAGGAATGTTTTATTTGTACTTTGAGACCCTGAGCAAAAAATAAGAGTGTTTTGGTCTAAGTCAGCAGATGAAGAATGGAGCTCCCTCAGATCACATAGTCCTGTCCTTTTGATGGGCAGTGCATGTGGTGGATGGGCTTCTAATTAAAGGGCTGGGTGCCTGTGTGCCTCTATTTTCATTCAGCTCTGGCTTTCACCAAAGATTGGCCAGAGGAATGTTGCTTCAGTTTATGTGTGTGTGTGTGTGTGTCTGTGCCTGTGCATGCAAAGGGTTTGTGTATGTTAGTGGCCTCCCTCTCAGCCTTTCACTAGAATGATCCTGTGGACTGCAAAGGACTTCCTTAAGGGGCAATAAGTCATTCAGGCCAGATATCATTTTCATTAGTCTAGAAATAAGCCTGGTGTGTGTCCTGTATCAGTATCCTCTTACATTCATCCAGAAAGCTTTGAGCGGAAATGTTGGAATTTTTTTTGTCCAAATCAGAAATGGACTTTAACTGTCAGCACTCCCGCTTAATAGAGACCGTCTGGGTTTCGTGATCCTGATTCACGCGCCTTTATCCATGCAGGGCTTTTCAGAAAGTCAGCGCGTGTGACAGTATGAGATTAATACACTATTTTTTTGCTCAAAACTTACTCTACTGTGACCTAATGCAGATATTGTATATAATAAACTGACGCATAAATGTATTATGAGATAGAACGCAGAAGTGTACAATCACCGTAATATGGGAATAATGATCACGCAATATTGACTGATGGATCGGCAGAGAATCGTCTTTCTGCGAGTCATTAAGAAATTATGGTTGTATTCTATAGAAAGAAATATGAGGTAAATGTGTGAATACATAATGTGCGCACTTTTGGAGTAAAGGTTTGAATGTTGTGTAGCGAAGCATTGATCAAAAATAAATGGAAGCAATCGCGATTGAATATGTAGCCTACAGGTTTGTTTCACGTTATTCTATTCAAAATATAATCAACTCCCGATTGATTTTGCATTCCCGGCAGCAATAAGAACTATTAGTGTCATTGTAACCAAGTATTATCATAATTAGTGGTCAAATATCGAAACTAATCTCAAGGTCAAATCAGAATATTTATTGTAAAAATGTTTCTGTAACAGCTGCCAAAAATAATCTATATATTCATCTGTGATTTGTGATATATTTTCAAGGGAAAAATTTTATAATTTTTTTTCCACAACCCAATATATATATATACATACAGTATCTCACAGAAGTGAGTACACCCCTCACATTTTTGTAAATATTTTATTATATCTTTTCATGTGACAACACTCAGTGTTGTCACATGAAAAGATATAATAAAATATTTACAAAAATGTGAGGGGTGTAGTGTACTCACTTATAGACACACTTTAGAGATACTATACTATATATATATATATATATATATATATATATGGGGTGTGATTTGTGAACAAACCAGAGTTTGTTATATATAATATATATATATATTGTCGCACTATACACTGGTACTAAAAAGGTACCCTGCTTTTAAAAACGGTACGATTCTACATTTTACTAGTAGGCCTACTTTATGAATGCGTTTTAATAAGAGGACACAGGACTGCTTATTGATATTTTTAGAGTGAATAAGAAACATGAATGAGAAAATAAAGCGTGTGACGTGCTTGATGTTAAAATGAGTTAATTAGGTGCAATAAACCTTGAAAAAGAATTTGTGCAGTACTCTCACACACCCGAAGCGCGTGCACAAAAAGCCGCCTCTCTCACAGACAGCATGCGATTGCGAATTCTGATCTGTTTCACGAGTCATTGCGCTTCAGCGATCAAATACGCAGACATTATGTTAAAATGCCCATCTTGTCTTATGACCTAAGTGAACATAAACAGATGAGAAAGAAAATGCGTGTATTAATAAATTGGATCCGTTCAGCTCTTAGCTGCTGCTGTCTGTATCAAACAACATGAGTTTCATATGTAATCAAATAACAAAAGAGAAAGAAAATCACTCACTGATCTTGACTAACGTTAGTAGCTTTAATAAGGATCAATGTATATTTAATTCATACAGTTAAGACTATGCAGTGCTTTATTTTTACATTTTGATTACTTTATTCATTTTGCTTGAATGCTACTATTAAATAGACCTACTGTACCTAAAAACACAGTTTATTTAATTTGCCTTTGTTTTGTTGTATTTGTCCTTTTCTTTGTTACATCTATGTTCTTATTATTAATAATAACAAAGATAAAATAACAAATACATCTGTATCATGATATAAATTATCGTGAAATAAAATTACTCGTATAGTGAAATAAGATTTTGGTAATATTTCCCACTCCTAGCTCATGCCCTCAAATATAGTACAAGTCAAAAGAAGGTTTTTTTTTTGTTTGTTTTTATTTTTTTTGCGACACATGAACTTTTTCACCATCTGAGTTTGATGGGGCAGTTGAGGTCATTAATAACTGTCTAATTTGGCTTTATCCTTTTAGTTAACTTACCAGTGTTGCAAAGATCTATACATACCAGTAGTTTAAATTATATTTTTCTTCTCATTAAATTTAAATTAAAGACCGTGTGGCCCTCCCAAAGATGCCCAGCAACCTTATTCACCACCCTCCTAAGGACACCAGATTGCAGAGGTCCCAGCCCCCACCCCATTCCAGCCCCCAAACTGCCCACTTCTGCCCCATTTCAGACCCACCGCATGCTAATTGATGAGAGAGGCCCCGGGAATCAAATGAGCTGGAAGGAGATCAAGCGGCTGGCCCTGCGTTGGGGAGTGCAGCTAGGCTCTCCGGCCCCGCGCCTTCCCGAGGCCTGTCTCTGGTCCATAAAGAAGAGCCTAATGAAGCATGGGGAAGGAATTACACTAACGCTAACTGGCAGATGTCCTGCATTGTGCCAGGGTACAATAAACAATATGGCTGCCTCTCATGAATTAGCATGAGAAAGGGGGGTGCCTTCTGGAAGCTCTGTTTTGACTGCTGTTTTTGGGGAGTTTTTTTTTCTTCCACTCTCCTCTGCTTTATTTCCTCCCTTTTTCCAAGAAGAGGTACTTTAGGACAGGTGCTATCAACTCTTTCCTTTGTTTAGAGTCTGAATGCCTCTCAGCGAAGCTTGGTTATTTCAGGTTGGTACTGTTGGTTTCATTTTTTAGGCAATAATGTTTTGATTGTAAATTACGGTGCCTCTGTTGTGTGAATAGCATGTTACAACAAAGAACCGTCTTTAAAGAATCATTCAGATTCCACCTGTTAGGTTACTCCTTTTGAGATTACAATGTGAGATTGTATGACAGGTATGTCAAGGTTGATTTTCCACTAAACTAAAGTGCTTTCCAGAGTATCACTTAAGAAGATCACTCATAATTTAAATAATGATACTTAAATTACTGTTAATAAATATTAGGTATCTGTACCCACAGAATTCTCTAGAATTCGAAAGTTGTTCATTTGTAAATGAAGCAACACTTTGTGTTTATACATTGAAAATTGGGGATAATTGTGCACTATCAGTCAAAGGTTTGGGGTTGGTAAGATACTTTTTTTATGCTTTTTAATGTTTTTGAAATAAATTTTACGCTCACCAAGGCTGAATTTACTTGATCAAAAATACAATAATGTTGCGAAATATTATTACAATTTAAAAAAATAGTTTTCTATTTGAATATATTTTAAAAAGTAATTTATTCTAGTGATGGCCAAGCTGATTTTTTAGCAGCCATTACTCCAGTCTCCAGTATCACATGATCCTTCAGAAATCATCCTAATATGCTAATTGGGTGCTCAAGAAACATTTATTTTTATCAATGTTGAAAACAGTTGTGCTGCTTAATATTTTGTTTGATGAATAGAAAGTTTAAAATAACAGCATTTATTTGAAATAGAAATCTTTTGTAAATTTTTTAATGTCTTTACTGTCACTTACGACTGATTTAATACATCCTTTCTGAATAAAGGTAGTAATTTATTTAAAAACAATCTTACTTACCCCAAACTTTTGAATGGTAATATTTATTATAAAATATTATATTCAGCTACCAATTTACACATTTAAATGACACAATCTGCAGATTTTCCTCTAGAAACAGCACTGAAAATGAGCACAGACTCTGTTTGTCATGATAATTAGATGCATAACACGTACATAAAAGGTACACAAGCTACTTAAAATGTGTTTGGAGGAGTTGAGAGGAGATGATATGTGTATTTATCCTCAGGTCACGCTTCTGAGGCAGTTGTGTACCTTTCCCTTTCTTTTCACCTTTGTCTTAAGGCAAAAGTGGGCCAACCGTGGGCCATTTTAGGCCAAGACAGAGAAGCTGGTAGGGGGTGATGCCGTTTTAGGAGCTCCCAGAATAACTGCCTGTGCCTGAAGGTCTGAGAGGTCATGGCTGGTTGGGCATTCAGAAAGGCTCCTTGTTTATGCTGGCTGCCTGACTCTAACACACACGCGTTCCCTAGTGCAGGCCCCCAGCGCGTACATTGTGAGGACCTCCATCCCCTTCCCCTCGCCTGGTCTGACTCGCGTCGTTTGCAGTTTTCTGCTTGAGCGTGCACCCCATTGTTTCAGTCGTTTTAATCACTCACCAGCTGGTCGGGGAATGAACAGTGCTGCAGGCTCAGATCCATGTCACTTGTGAGGTCTTGGCAGCGGGTTTCTCAGTGGTAGGCTGCCACCGCTTGATACCTCTGCTTTGGAACAAGTCAAGAGTCAACAAGTCATGACTTTTTCTATCCCCTTTTTACAGATTGCCCTATTTGTTTTTTTCTTATCTATTTGCCAGTTAAACCTTCTACAGCCATTATCGACAATTTCTACCAAAGGAAATGACAGTTAGGTTGCTGTCTTTTCTCCCCACCTTCTTTGCGTGTGTGTGTGCGTGCGTGTTTTTTTTCTTTTTTTGCTTGTTTGTTTTAAGTTTCAGTATCATGGTCTGATTTCATATTAGCCCATAGGCAGAACGAGACAATTCACAATTAGCTGTGATCCCGGGACAGCTGCAGGAAAGCAGAGGCCTACAGGGATGGAGCCTTAAGGCTGTGTGTCTTTCCTGCTCTACCGTCATGTCGGTTATCAACATCTGCCATACTTTAGGTTTAAAGGCACATGCACACGGTCCACCCCCCCCTTCCCACATATATATATATATATATATATATATATAATATATATGTGTGTGTGGGGAGGGAAACAGTGTGCATGTGCCTTTATTATATTAGTCCTTTTGAGTTTTTTTTTTAATCCATTTCAGGTTATTAAAAGATATTTGGAATGACTCCGGTCTTCTGGTCTTGTTTTGGCAGGATATGATGTACCAGCTGCTGCAGGGTCTGGATTTCCTCCACTCTCACCGTGTAGTTCATCGAGATCTTAAGCCTCAAAACATTCTAGTCACCAGTGGAGGACAGATCAAGCTGGCTGATTTTGGTCTGGCTCGGATCTACAGCTTTCAGATGGCTCTTACTTCTGTGGTGAGTAAAGGGGTTGCACAAGTGTCTGAAGCAGCAAAATTTTTTTTAAAATTTCATATGATGTCATAAAAATGCCACACACACAGACAGGTGACACACGTCAAACATTTCTCTTTGTAGCCTGAAGTACAGTACATGTATTTAATGTATTTGATGTCGTCTTGGTAGCTTTAGTAGTGTGACATGCAATCATACATACAAATAGATCCCTTGAGACAGATATGGGTGATGTCCAATCAGATGTAGCACTGAAAGACTACCCATCAGACATATGCCTGAAAACGAGTGTTTTTTTTTTAAACATTTACATTGTCATTTTGCAGACGCTTTTATCCAAAGCGACTTACAATTGGGGAATACATAAAGCGATTCTTCTTAAAGAGGCAAACAGACACAGGAAGTGCTCATAATACCAAGTTTCAGGCATTGTTCAAATAAGTACAAGCTAGAAAGGCAAGGAATAAATAAAGAGAAAGATTTTTTTTTAGGATGAAGTAAAGTAGCATCGAAAGAGATGAGTTTTCAGCTGTCGCTTGAAAATTGTCAGGGATTCAGCATTCCGGATAGGGGTGGGAAGATCATTCCACCAGCCAGGAATGGTGAACGAGAATGTTGATGGTACCACGAGGCGTCGCTCACTAGCGGACCTCAGACTTCTAGAGGGGATGTAGGTTCGTAGTAGTGAGTGGAAGTAGGCGGGTGCTGAGCCTGTGGCTGTTCTATATGCAAGCATCAATGTCTTGAACTTGATGCAAGCCGCAACCGGTAGCCAGTGCAAGGAGATAAAGAGAGGTGTA